TTTTTTTTTTTTTTTTTTTTTTTTTTTTTTTTTTCTGTTAAACCACCACTACCTCCGAGGCTGGTTTTCACCGACCCTGATTCTCACTGCGCACCGAGTTTCGCAGAGCATGGGTTCCGTGCCATTTCTTTTCTGTTACTCTCCTGAAAAAAAAAGAGAAAAAGCACGGCCAGACTTTTTTTTTCTTTTCTTTTCAAAGCAGCCACAAAAAAATAAAAGGAAAAAAAAACAAACACGCCTCTGGACGTGATACCAGGTAGATACCTAGCCCAAAGTCGGTGTGGGAGTATGCCCTCAGTGAGGGTGTTACGGTGGAAGGGTGTCAGGTCCAAGGAAGAAGGAAAAGGACACAAAAAAAAATGAAACTGAACTTGGTCAAGCAGCCTTTCAAGGACGACAAACAAAGTCCTCGATAATCCTTAAACATTGCGGACAAGATGGTGCGGCCAGACAGTCTCTCCCAATCTTCCCTAGACCCAAACAACGAAGCTAGATTGATCCACTTCCTGCGATTTGCCTTTTAGGGATACAGTGTCTACATGGGGGTTTCCACCCTCTCCGACATGCATGCAACCCTCTGCCCATTTCCTACAAAATGCAACAAGGAGCCTTTCTGCATTGTAGAACGATCAATTTGACAGGGTTAGGGTCTACATCAGACTACGATCAATTTGACAGGGTTAGGGTCTACGATCAATTTGACAGCATGCATGCATGCATCCGTATCCACTCCCCGAGAACTGAGACGACTCTTTCCTTCCTGTTATGTGCGCAAAAATGTGCGCAAAAATGTTCCTTCTCCTGCTTAATTGATGACAGCATGAATGACATCAATATAGAATCGACCAGCAACTTGTATCCAAGGTAACGATTGACAAAAATCCAACAATCATAACAAACAAATTTGCAGCAAAAGACAAGGCTTAGGGTGGAGGACCGCTTAACTTCCTCATGATGACGCTGGATATCGGTGTTCATATCTCTCCGCGAGTCTTCAAATGAGTCTTCCTTCTCAATGGGGTCTTGCTCAACCCTCCTGGCCACTTCCACTTCCGACGTTTCCTTCCTTACTCTCACTCCATCTTGGTCTTCAGTCCGACAGCCGCTGCTCATTCAACTGCACCCGCCGGCCTTTATTGAGCGCTGACCTTCTTCCTCCTAGGCCAATGCAATGCAAGTTCGTTCTGACACCAGTGTCATGATCCAACTCAACTTGACTCCCACTTCTTTTTTTTTTTTTTTTTTTTTTTTGTTTGAGAAGTTGATACTTGATAAGGTTGTGGTCTTGACTCCCACTTTGTAACCATGCAAGCATTCAAAACTTCAAACGACACTCGCCTTTCAAAGCCACAATAGAGATGTTAGCAGAAACAAAAAATATTCTTCCAATTTGGTCGCAATAAAATTGCGCAGAGGAATATCTTTATCTGCTTTGACCTAGCTGAGGAGTCGCGCTTGACATGGCATACACCCTCTCCATTCCTAGATTTGCAGATTGTTAAGATCAGGGCCAATGAGGCCATGAATAGATTGGAGCCTTGTTCCCATTACAAAAAAAAAAGAGGCCTGGGCAGAACAGGATGGATGTACGGAAGAGCCGGTGCACCATTCGAGTTCTTGTACTTGGTCTCCTGGCGGGAGAGAATGACTGGGACTGGGATCAACTGCCGTGGACGCGTGTGTGAAATTTGACAGGTAAATAGCACTGCCGCGATGGAGCTGACAAAAGCTGTGTATGGGAAAAAGACAAAATTTGGAACCAATGTCAGAGGATGATGGAGCTTGATTTTCGCTCCGTGAACAAAAATGGCATTCAGGTATGGTATCTGAGACAGTCTGAGAATTCTGTACCCGGTTATCCACAGACCACGACGCTAATGATACAATGGATCAAAATGCTGTTGTTCACACCTAGCCTCCCTTGGAATACCCTTGCACGAGAACAAATTGCTCGCCTGACCCCTCAAAGCTCCATAGGGGGTGGACCCCTGGTTGGAGGACCGCTATTGGACCATATCACGGTGCTATAGAGTCGGTAGGGACTCTAGCCGGGCTGCAGCGCGAGGGGTTGGCGCGACCGGAGGAAGTGGTGCGCCAACCACTCTTTGGTAGCAGAAGTATTACAGATCGGAACGGGAGGTGTACCGCAGAAGAGCCGCAACTGAGGGCCTCCCTGAAGCATTGCCACAATATTGAAAAGAATTTGGATCAGCTGACTTTTGCTATCCCTTTGGATTGGGTTCGAACCTTGCGCAATGGACCGTGGCTTCTAGAAGGTGATTGGGTAGCCACTCCGGGAGATACAGAAAGTGTGGACAATGTGGTGGAGGTACTTACTGACGAAATGTTGGTCAGCGTCTTCCACAAGGCCAAGGATAATGTGCTCACCGGATACCCACCCGGAAGTGGTCTGGGTATAATTTGGGACAAGGAATGGATAGCGTTCAGTCCAGGGACCCCACTTGCGGAACTCCCCTTTGACCCAGAGGAGTAGCAGTGAAACCCTGCACGCAGGACAAAATCTGGTGCCAACTAAACTCTATTCAGTCTGGCAGTGAAATCTACATACCTACCCCTCGGACCAAAGGGGAATCTAAAGGAGATTGTGAAGGCCCGTTGGAGGTCTCACTTGAAGGTAGGAGGGAATGAGGCTATCTGCCTCATTCGCTATCCGCCACATTCAATGGTTCACCACCACAAGGACTAAGCCTGCGAAGGTGGCCTTGCTACAATGGCAGATAGAGCACCGTTGCCTTCCAACCCACAACTGGCTAGTAGACCGCACTCACCTGGGGCAAAGGGGACTGGCGTTATCGTGGTGCAAACTTTGCCACGCTGCCTTTCCCTCTTGTAGGATTCCAGAAACTATAGAACATGTATTCCCGCAGTGCCGGGGGCGGTCCTCACGTGGCGACGGTGGAGCCAACTGGGCACAGGGTCCATCTGGCCATTGGAGGGCACTCCGAGTCCTATGCGAGGCATGGACCCCCCTATGGATAACGCCTCCGAAAACAATATGTTCAAGATAGGGAGGAGAGCGGCTATCTGGCCCTCTGGAGAAAAAGAAGCATATATGCCATTGAGGGGGTCCACATAGAAGGGGAGGAGGTGACAGAAATGATAATAAAGCACATTAAAAGCAGTATATTCATCAGGAACAAATGGCACGGTGGCAGAAAGTTAAGACTCAATTGGACCTGTTACATTCACAGAAAACATAATACAAGCAATTAAACAATTCTCAGGGGAGTGGCTGGGTAGTGAAAACGGGGGTTGGATAGCGCACATCCGATGGGAAGGAGGCCACACTTTGGAGCGCAGCAGGGACGAGTTCGGGAGGGACGATGGTATCTCTTTTTTTTTTTTTTTTTTTTTTTAGGGACTATGGTGTCTGCTTCAAGGACTGGAGTAAGGTGAATCAGGAGATCCCGCTGCGTCCACCCTCAGGGTTCCCTGAGCCCTTCCTGCCCCATCAGCTCTCCATGGTTGGCTTGCAGTGGTACGGTGCTGACTAAGCGGGGCTACAGCTTGGGGTAATGCCGATAATCAGGCGGCCTGTGGTACTCCCGCTGGAACAGTCCTTGTCACAGCCAGGTACAGGATTGGCATTTGCAGAACTTCAGGGGCCTGTGACGGGCCGCAACAACGGCCAACAAGGACATCTAGGGGTCAACAGCAGGTGCTGCACGTCGCCCGGCTACGGTCTGAGGAAATGCAGGGCCGCCTGGCGTCATCATGGCTGGGTGTCGGTTCAGAAGGGTTATGGGACGTTGGACCCGGTTGCCAGCAGGGCTGCTCCTCATCAATAGATCGGAGGGACCTGTGGCAGGCCAGTACTCAGTAGTAGACGGGAACTGGTGGGTTCGCTGGTTCGCTGCATCTGGAAAGGGAGGAAGGGGACTAGGTAGTCAGCTTGGTCAGGCGTCGAGCAGCAGGGCTGAAGGGGCGCTTTGTAGTCAATTCCTCTCATGTGCATCCTCTCACCTGCTCAGTCAATCCCCTGGTT